TGGAATTCATAATATTTACTGATCTTTATACAGAATACAGAACTTGTATTGGTCTTGTGAAAGTAAAAATACAGTACAAGAAATTAATTCATTGTTTGAAAACCATATAGGCTACAAAACTGCGTTATGGTCTTGATGCTGCATCTAGCTGGATAAAAACAAAGCCAAGTAAGGCTAATCTTCCAAAATAATACAATTTTATCGGCTATTTAAATAATAATCAACATCTTATCTCCCTGATTTAAAATTGCGTTCATCCATACTAACATTTTGTGGTTCATTAGTAGTAAATGTACATGTTACGGACGATCTGCACACATTAAGACGGACATGATTTCAAAAATATAATATTTGTATGTTGTATGTTGCGCGTATTATGGTGTTAGGAACAAGTCTCGTGACATCAGCAGATGACCATAATCCACTACGACGGGAATCAAATCTGTGAATAAGATATTTTAAATAAGCGGGAGCAGATCCATAGAAACATTATTATTATTATTATTATCATCATCGTCATCGTCGTCGTCATCGTCATCGTCATCATCATCATTATTATTATCATTACTATTATTATTATTATTATTAAATTATTGTTGTTGTTGTTGTTGATGTTGTTTGTATTATTATTAATTATATTATTATTGTTATTGTTATTATTATTATCATTATTATTATTATCATTATTATTGTTATTGATGTTGTTGTTATAAAAGATGTAAGAATGCAACAATAATTAACATTATTAACAATAATAACAATAATTAACATTATTGTTACTATTCAAAACAATTACGCACGCCCACCCATACTGTAGCATTGGATTGGATTTATTCGGTGATATCCCATGAAAATCTAAAGGAAGACTTATTGAGAGTGGGGTCCTTCTGGTGGTGATTGGACAGTACATCGGAAGGCAATCCCCTACTCTTTTTGAAAATTGTAAATTAAAAAGTTCACTAACAAGTATATCAGATACAAAGACAGACGTATATTTGAACCCTATCTACTAGACAAAATAAATTTCAAAGGAATTACAATAAAATTCAAAATACGAACTAATTATCTAAACCTAGAGGGTAAAAAGCAGACATGGTCTGCACAAAACAACGGTTTTTGTAAATTATGTTCCCAAAATTTAAAAGAAACAACCGACCATTTTTTATTTATTTGTGATAAAATCCAGCCATTTAGAGAAAAGGTTTATAATGATTTAAAAAATGATCTTGTTAAATGGGAATTAGGTGAATTTTGGGGATCCTTTATAACCGGATTGTTAGATTATAAACATCATTTATTTCTCGATAATCTTTATGACCAATTTGGTAATCATAAATTAGCAGAAATATTTGATAATTATTGTAAGGTATTTATCGAAGGCGCATGGAAATAAGATCTGAAAAATATAAATCCATGGCCACATTACCACCCGTTACACTTTAATTAGTTTTTGTATTTATTTTTTAATCTGTTAATATGAACCTTTATGATCAGTTAGTTCTAAGCTCTATATTTTGCTATAAATACCTTGTAAAATGTAAAGTAGAAATTTAATTACTGTAGTTTTATTATTATGAATTAGTGTTTTTATTCCCTTTAAATGTGTTACTGTAGTAAATATGAACCCATATTTGGTCTATTAGTTCTAGCTCTATATTAACTTACAATTCATACTGCAACTCTGCAATAATACGGTAATGTAAGACTACCGCACCACAGATAGGCCTACATGCCATGTTGATAAATTTTACTTTGCATTTTATGTTTTTTTTTTTTTCTCTTATATTTGGATGCGTTGAGAATTGTTCAACGTGTGCCACTGTTACGAAAGTGATAATTTTTAAATTGAATTGAATTGAATTGAATACTCTTTTCCGAAGAGTGTACGGTAACTGCGTTCTTTAACGTGCACATGGGCCATAGATCGTCGCACTATACATAAATGCACACGGGACCACCGGCTTAAACGTCTCATCTGAAAGACGGTGCGCCATTGTAACTTGTATTTCAGCCCTCCAGCTGAAACACAAGGAGAGGCAGTGATGGGAATTGAACCGGGGACCTAGAGATCTTCACGGTTCAGCGCACACACAGTGGCTACCGCCAGATTAGCCGACTGAGCTAAGCTGCTATGTAGGCCTAACTATACCTCAACAACAATAAAATCTGTCCTTCTCCACTTATAATTATATTTATTGATGATAGCCAACATAGTCAGCTTAGATGAATTCGATTTTTTTTTTTATCGTGGCACTATTGTGAGTTTGTATGGAGGTGAATTGTGAACTCCGGCGTAAATCACGCCATCAGCGACGTCAGGAAGCGTTTCGCCATCCGCTGCTTCAAATCCGTAACGTTAGTATATGACGGTAATAAAAAGAAACATCACCTTCTTAGCAAATCCTTCACCTGGACATCGCCTTTTTCCTGAAATAAAACAAAACCAGTTAAAGCCAGCTAAAATATAAAATATTAGAATTTATTTAGACACAACACTTTGCGTAATAGGGACACATTCACACTGCATGCGATTGTGGTCGTTAGTGTGGTGATGATGGAGACGATAATGGTGAAAAAGATGAGAACGATGATGGTATTGATGATGAATATAATTATTAGGCCCCTATTCTAATATTGTGATATTTCACCGTTTCCATCCACACTTGAATATTCATCATTGCCAATATAACATACCAAGACCAAACGGAAAGTACGAGTCTTTGTTGATGTCCAGCTGCCCATCACTGTCCAAGAATCGGTCTAGGTTAACTAAACCTTTCAGGATCCTCCCTGTAGCGCTCATCATGATGCAGCCCCCAAATATTGCCCAAAACGACCGTACTCTTTCTGATATCATAACCTTCAAAATTGACATCCTTCTGCGTCGCGTGTGCGGAACGAGCTGCGCCGCTGGGCACGCCATGCGCAGTGTTTCGGAGGACAGTATGCACTTAGGCAATGGTGAATCAAAGAGTTTGAAAAAAACCGGGCCCCAAGGAAAGAAGTTTTGTAGAGGTCAAATCTATTCAGCCCCATTTAGGTGATGGATATACCAAAGATTTTTTTTTTATTTAAGCTCTGGCAAGTTTGTCAGGGAAAGACACCCAGTGGTGGATCTCAAATGAATAAGGGGAATCGAATTATCAGATAAGGGGATAGGGCTACTAGTAGTGGCGTAACGAAAAGCAGGAAACCCCAATTGGAAAGTAGTGGTTAAATGTGTGGGAGGAAGGCTCATTGGATCCACCCCCGACACTGTCAAACTCTTGAAACTCTTTAATATATTGAACGTAATCATTTTCTCGGGGGTGGCTCGAACCAACTTTAATTCCTGCCTATAAGGATCAGCTACAAGTATAAATGAAGGTTTATCAACTACTGGAATCGGATAAGTAGGCCTTGTTTTATGATTAGGCCCATTATTGGGATTTGATTCTAAAAACAAACTTCTTTGCCTAGAATGCTATGTGAAAAGACGTACCTTAAGTTGGACATGGGGGTGCTTGGTGATGAGAAGAAGTAGCCACTGCAGCGCATTTTTAAGTGTCATCGATGCTAGCATCAAGTTTATTATGTGAGGAATACAATCTTCAGCTGGGAAATCGCTCCCGCCCACCTTCTTTAAGTAACCGTCTATAAGATCATCAAGTGTGCTGTCGTCTTCTACGTGCTCGCGCGCTTGTAACTGTTTATTTATAAGGCAACGTAGATTTTTCTGTTTTTTTCTGAAACCATTGTAGAGGCATGTTGACAACAAGAACGGAAATAGGTTTCCAGGCTCTCCCATCTGATTCTTTCGTGCCTTTCGAGTTGCATTCGTGAATTTAACCAATTCTCTAAAACTTGGATCGTCGTATGAACAACGTTTACCACTTTGAAAACAAAATGTAGAAATGAGGTTTAGACTGGCTTCGAAGGTCGTTTGATATACCAAGTCAGGCTCAGGTTTAGTCATGGCTAACGTATCGCATAACGCACTGGCTTCAATTTGCGCCAATTTCTCGAGGTCAATTTTATCAAAAACTGACATTAAAAGATGCCTACGCATCTCAAAATCCTCATCGTTTTACCATGACAATGTACCTACGTAAGAAAAATAATAACCAAACGTAAAATGTATTTCTTACAAGTGTGTATAAGAGACAGATATATATATATATATATATATATATATATATATATAGAGGGAGGATACAGTAAGTTCAACAAGAACTTTAAGACGTAGCCACCTTAAATAAAGTTGGAAAAATGACGGGTACCAGTGTTTCTTTTTATCAGAACTAATAGAATCATAGAAATGATATACCACTAAAATTAAAATAATTCCAATGCAGCTTTCTGGACCACAAGACCAGAAACATTATTTTTAAGACTCGAATAAAAATGAAAGGATTAGGAGGAAAAGGATAATTAATTGCTATATACCGAGACCGAAGATTTCTTACGGTGATATTTAAAACTATTCAATGTGAATTTATTTTTTAGGTCATCAGAAACATTCGCCCATAATTTCGGCCCCCAAAAAAGAACTGAAGAACGATACCGCACTAGATATGCATGGAGTACGCGAAGTATAATTGTTGCTATAAAATCTTGTATTATATTGATGATGTTCAAAAGTTCTTGTATATAGATTACTGATATTGGATGGTAAAGATATATGCGATTAACGATACATAAAAGCAGCAGTTTGGATTTTACTTAAATCGTATACATTAAAGTGATAAAAAGGTGATTGGTGTGAGCTCTAAAATAATCACCCGAGTAAATCCAACGGAATCGCTTTTGAAGGCGAAAAATGGAAACGATGTTAGTCGATTCAAATCTGGGGCAGAGACATAAAGTTTCGAACTTATTTAAAGTAATTCTCCATGCAATATTGCAATAAGAAATAAAAGGTAATACTAAAGTATTAAGGATAAAATAATTTTTGATGGAAAATAATGCTTAAGCTTGTTTAGTATACCAATGTTACGTGCAATTATGTTGGATATACCAGATTTACATACGGTTTCCAAGAAAGCTTTGAGTGACACCCAGGAAATTAGTCTCGTTACATGAAATATTATGTTATCATCGATTAATAAATTGTCGTTAATTTTAATAGAATTATGCTGATTGAAAATAATGTAATTACTCTTCGAAGTGTTTTAATGATAGTTTATTAAGTTTAAACCATGTAGAGACCTTATTTAACTCAACGTTCATCGTTTTTAATAATACATTTTTATTCTTACGAGAAAAAACAATATTCGTGTCATCAGCAAAGAGAACAAACTTAAGAAAATTATAAAAATTGGGAAGATCGTTGACATTAAAAACCTGTCTCTTATACACATCTAGATGTGTATAAGAGACAGACGTTTACCACTTTGAAAACAAAATGTAGAAATGAGGTTTAGACTGGCTTCGAAGGTCGTTCGTCAATCCTTAAAAGTTAGATTTTCGAAAAGCCCATTTGACCTTCCCAGACTGTTAATCAAAAATGTAACAAATCGTCAGAACAGGGCTGGAATACGCGCGTATCCTAGAAACACTCGTGTTGTCTTACAAACGCATGTGTTTGCGTATGTTTTAACATTGTCGTTTTGTGTGATCTTAGCAACAATCCAAGATGGCGGGACTTAGCGAAAGGGTCCGATGTCCCCGACAAGGGGAAAAACTTCCCCGACGAGAACAAAGTGGGTTTGGTCGGACATCACTTTAAATGCCTCAAAAGTGGTCTAGGTGCAAAGCCTCCGAAATTTTGACAATTTAGGGGTTTCAAACGTTTATTTAATCGATTTTAGAATCTACTAATATGTACACAATAGACC